AGTTTCAGCAAAAGGGATAGAATCGTAATACATTAAGGTGGAGAAAAATTGTCATTGCCAGAGGATTCTCTTCTCTCTCCTTTCCATCCTCCCTCCTGCATCCCTTCCTTCTGTTCTCCTCGGCATTTTTCTTCAGACAGTTCTGACGTGGACTGTGCCTCCTGAGGGATGGGAGTTTCCACCTGCCAGCTCCCCCTGTGTCCTGGCAGCGCCAGGCCCCCTTTATCTTGAGCCCTCGGTGTTCTGCTTGTTGGGTCATATTAACAGTGTGTTTCTTGGCGTTTCTTGCTTTTGTCATGTGACCTTCACTACGTTTCTTTCTAGCAAATGTCTTTCTAGGCTTCTGGTTTGGTGCACAGCCAGAGCCAAACATCTTTTTCTTAAGTGGATTGATACCAACTGAGAGATCGTTGAAAGCTGTAGAGAAGAGTTCACGTGAGCAGACTGTGGAAACACGAAGGCAGTACCCTTCTGGCTTCTGAGAAGACCCTGAATCGCATGTGGACAATTTGGGAAGGATTGCTGAGCTGGGAAATAGGGGACCTGGGCTAGTGGTGACCTGGGGCAAGTCACTTCACCTCTCTTGGACCTTTTGTCCGTCTCTAAAGGAAGGAACTAGGAATTTCTATGTTCTGTGAATTTCATGAGTTAATAGAACCATCTGCCAATTTGTTTCTTGTGAGAAAGTAGTAGAATAATGGGATGAATTGGTGCTCTTAGATGAAAGAGTTCGCAGGGCGGTGCCTATGGCTCAGAGAGTAGGGCGCCGGCCCCATGTACTGAGGGTGGTGGGTTCGAACCCGGCCCCAGCCAAACTGCAACAACAACAACAACAACAACAAAGAAGTTTGTGAGTCACTAGCACAGCATAATTATCTAAATAACTCCATAGATATGGTTCATATTTGTTAGATAGTTCCCTGTGCCAAGTATTGAGCTGAGTATTTTGTTTGGACTATCTCATTTAATACTAACCCTTTGCAAGAGGTGGATATTTTAATATCTTCTTGATAAAGAAGAAATGGAAGCATAAAGAGGTTAAGCATTTTTTTTTTTTTTTTGAGACAGAGTCTCACTATGTTACTCTCGGTAGAGTGCTATGGTGTCATAGTTCACAGCAACCTCCAATTCTTGGGCTTGAGCGATTCTCTTGCCTCAGCTTCCCAAGTAGCTGGGATTACAAGTGCCTGCCACAACACATGGCTATTTTTTTTTCATAGTTGTCATTGTTGTTTGGCAGGCCCAGGCTGGGTTCGAACCCACCAGCTCCAGTGTATGTGGCTGGTGCCCTAACCACTGAGCTACAGCACTGCCAGGGTAAGCAATTTAAACCCAAAATGCATTTCAGATCCCAAACTATTCATCTGCAGAGGCTGCTTTACAGCACTCAGGAATATCCATTTTCTTCCTAAGAAAACCTCTTTAGGGCAGTGCCTGTGGCTCAAAGGAGTAGGGTGCTGGCCCCATATACCGGAGGTGGTGGGTTGAAACCTGGCCCCAGCCAAAAACTGCAAAAAAAAAAAGAAAAGAAAAAGAAAAGCCTCTCTAGACACATGTGCTTTAGGCAGGATGTAGTTGACTAAATGTCTCATGTCTCTTTTTTTCCCCTAATCCTCCATAGGCCACCTCGAGACTTAGACTCCAAGGCTTGCATTTCTATTGGGAATCAGGTGAGAACAATCGCCTCCGCTGGCTAATACCTTGGCCATTTTCTGTGTAAGCTTTCTGATCGACCTCTGAAAAATTTATTTTGCCTATCATGTTATCAGGGGGGATGGTTCAAAACGAAATTTTAATTTGAAGGGAAGTGGTATGTGGACCTTTTGCTCTTTTGGTTGTATGAAATCAGGGGGTTGAGGTTGTGATGGGACGTGTTTAAGGAGAGCAGATGAATCTCTTTCTCAAAGCCCTGATGTAACCTGGCTGCCCTGACAGAAGGCAGGGGTTGTGTCTAAAGAGCCACAGTGGAGACAGCTCCACTGCACCCTGGGAAAGCTGAGTTGGAGTTGGGTTTCTGAGTTGCCTGTGACAAGCAAGTGGCCTACTTGGGGAGCTTTAACATCTCCTGTCACTTCTTGCTTTCAGTGGCTGCTTCGACATGCTAGAAAAGCTTCTGGCCCTAGAACATTGGGAGAAACCAGTTAGAGGACAGCGCGGCCCCCGTTCCCTGTTACATGGCTACTTTTCTGTCTTGCAGAACTTTGAGGTGAAGGCAGATGACCTGGAGCCTATAGTGGAGCTGGGGCGAGGTGCGTATGGGGTGGTAGAGAAGATGAGGCACGTCCCCAGCGGGCAGATCATGGCGGTGAAGGTAGAGTTGACGTTCCCCCACACGGTCTGTGTCTGTGTGTGTGTGACTGTCCCCCGCAGGTGTGAGCCAGCCCTTTCTATAGAAGCAAAGCAATCTTCACTAGGGTGAAACAGAAAAGATTATTTGCAGGGCCCTTTACTTCCCTCCCAATGTGTGGAAATGCTTCCTTGCTGTGAGTTGCATCTACTTTTGTTTCCTTTTTATATGGTAAGTCTCCCCTGTCTCTCCTCCCTCCAGTTTTTTGTTTTTTTTTTTTAACATATTCCACATTTTATCATTTTATTATTTTTTAAATTTGAGATTAATAAGAAGGGACAATTAGGTTACATTGTTTGCATTTGTTAAGTAAAGTCTAAGTTGTAGTTAAGCTAGGGTGACCAGACGTCGGGATTTTGGCAGGACAGTCCTGCTTTTCAACAATTTGTCCTGTGTCCCGCAGGGTTCATAAAAAAGTCCCGATTTTTGGAAAGAATGCACGAACGGGCAGGAGAACAAGAAGGAAATATACGGTTTTTGGCCGCCATATGGCTATTTCGCCAGAATATGAGTTTTATATTATTTTTGTTAATTTTATAATGTTAAACTGTAATAAGTAATTGCTGAGAAGTGATTCTCGAGAACTGCTTATCAAAGTTTGCCTCGTTGTCAGGCCCTGCCCGGCGCCGTCCCCTGCCCCGCTTCGCCCCACCCCCATGTTGTCCCGCCTTACAGATGTTAGAATCTGGTCACCCTAAGTTAAGCTTTTCACCCAGGGGGGTCGGCTGTACACCCTTACATTGTGCCCAACAAGTGAGAGCTTAGCAAGCCCCTTCTCCTCGCTCCTCCCCCCACGTGAATTTAATTGTGTTTCTCTCTTGTGTCAGTGTGTAGTTGTTTACCTGTGGCTTTCATATGAGTATTGAGTACACTGAATACTTGTTTTTCCATTCTTGTGATACTTTACTAAGGCGAATATACCACATTTTCCTCCTTCCATTTTTAATTTTTTTGTGTGTGAAACGACCACGTCTTCATCATGCTTAAAGGAATTAACGGCACTCCCTCAACCTCATCTAATACCCAATGCAAAGGAAATTTTTCTTGATCATCTCAAAGTGTTTTTTATTTTTCTGCAGTTTGGTTGGTTTTCCAAATTAGCATCCAAACAAAAGTTCACATGTTGCATTTGGCTGTTCTGACTCAAAAATTTCTTTTATTCTATATCGTGTTGCCTTTTTTTTTTTTGAGACAGTGTCAAGCTGTTACCCTGGGTAAAGTGCCATGGCATCATAGCTCAGAGCAACCTCCAACTCTCGGGCTCAAGTGGTCCTCTTGCCTCAGTTTTTCTAATTTTAGTAGAGACAGGGGTCTTGCTGTTTTCCTCAGGCTGGACTCAAACCATTCAGCTCAAGCAATCCACCTGCCTTGGTCTCCCAGAGTGCGAGGATTACAGGTGTGAGCCACTGCGTCCAGCCCATATCGTATTGCTTTTAAAGAATTATCCTTGAAAATCAAGAAATCAGAACTGAGAGAGGAAATTGTTTCCATTTGTGGAAAAAAGGAGGGTAAAATACATTTAGAGTAAATTTGTGTAGTCTTCATGCTATGTAAAAGAGATCTGTAATCATTCCCTATTTCTGTATTTCATTTTTTGTGTTATAAATACCTAAATACCTGGGTGATATTCAGAAGATGTTGCTGGAAGTTGTGCTGTGAATTTCTGTGCTGTTTTCAGGGTGGGACTCCTTCGGTTCCCTGCTTTTTTAGCTGACTCATCCTCAGAGTAATAACCATACATTTTCCACGCATTTCCATTCAGAGGATCCGGGCCACAGTAAATAGCCAAGAGCAGAAACGGCTACTGATGGATTTGGACATTTCCATGAGGACAGTGGACTGTCCGTTCACCGTCACCTTTTATGGCGCGCTCTTCCGGGAGGTAGGTGGTAGATCAATTCAAAGTTTAAGAACTATAGATTAAGAAGTTTCTCTGATCACATATGTGCCATGAACAGTCATGCTACTTTTTCTTGTCTGGCGTAATTTTGTTCAGAGGGTTTTGTACGGGTGCAGTGATGACATGGTTTGCAGCAAGTTTGGCTTAAAACCAGGGTACTTTCAAGGGGGGCTGGCTCTTCGGAAGATGCTGATTCTCTTCTCCTTTCTGTTTTGTTTTGTTTGTTCTGGCAGAACGTCTCTATCAATCATCTATAAAGTGATCTGCACAGATTCCTTAAGATCTGGAATATTCTGGTCTTTTGACCCCTGCCAGTGTCCTCAAACTATGGCCCGTGGGCCACATGCGGCCCGCAGAGGACATTTATCTGGCCCGCTGGGTGTTGTTGCTGCAACTGGCTGTCCTGCTTAGCAGCCGACTCCAATGGTCTGAGGGACAGTGAACTGGGCCTCTGTTTAAAAAGTTTGAGGACC